GGAATGCTAACATCACTCTCCATCTCTAAAAGTGCACTTAGTGAGAAGCACTGTAACATTTAGGAAACGTCTGTCTTTACAAGTTTTGATTGTTTGTATTACTTCAAAGTTATCTGCCATGTTGCTAAAAAGTGACTTCATCTGAGAAACTTGCAGCAAGTTGCAGCCAAGTGTCAAAGAATGCAAACAATAAGATAAAGAATGTGAAAGTTTAATATTTACTTAGCGTTTTAAAATAGAACATCTATTTCAATATATGTTGGGTTTATATGCCACAAAGGGAAAGCACTCTTAGAATCAGTGCACCATGCTGCTTTTCTTAACCTGTAGCTTTCCTTTTGTTGCTTTTCCACCTTAGTGAGATTTTGCATGCAATTTTGAGTGTTTTCAGGGTTCATTTACATATCGCCTTATATTTGTCATAGTCATTTTTTTTCTAGAATATTATTGAAAGGAAGGATAACTGGAGGATGTGCGTAACACATCACACACTTGCAGATTTGTAGAAAGTTAAACAGTTTCTTGTTTAGGTTTCTCACGCCATACTTAAGGAGCTGGAAACAAGCCTGAGTCAATACAGTTGAATACGTGCATCGTGTAAATATGGCCACATCCCAAAGAGGAGCATTAAGTGGGGGACACTGGACATTGGATAGGTTTTTGCTGATGTGTTGTACAGCAGTACATCCTGTGCAAAGGGAAAGATAAAAAAATTACATATGTGGGCACTTTTATGACCTGGTTTTCAAAACTTAGAATACTAATGGCTAGGAGGTTGCTAGTTAATCTACTTGAATGTAGGTTTGGATCTTTGCTTTAGGCTTTTACTATTGAAAATGTTGGCCACAGATACTCAGACATTGTTTTCTGAATCAATGCATTTCTGATTTAGGCTGCAGGCCAGAATAAGGTTAGCGCAAGTCTGCACGGCAAACTCTAAGTCGATGTTCCTGATAACACTACTTGGGAGAGCTAGTTCTGGAAGGAATGGACTTTCAGAAGATAAAACAAGCATGAGCTGGAAAGAAAAGCTGAGGAGGGGAGCATATGACTTACCTGATTCAGCCAGCTGATGGGCTCTTTCCCAAGATCTGCAGCTATGAATCCTTTCCTGGTGGTAGCTTAGTCTATACCTGCAAAACCCCCTGTCTATCATTTGCTCATACTGGCTTCCTCCCACAAGTTCCCAGAGTCCCCAGGAGTTTTGTACGAGTCCGCCGCTGTGCTTCCCCTATTAGGAACCTGTCTTCTCTCATGATACCGTTAAGTTATAGGTATCAGGCATGCTGGAAGAGTGCCAGTAATAGCGATGGTGGGGGCTCGTGAGCATTGCAGTGCTTGTGAACAGTTCAGTCGCGGCACCCATTAAAGACTTCCTCATATGGCCACGCGTGTAAGACTGAGAACTCCTGGGCAATCCTGATCCTCAGCTCTTTTAACTTTTATAGCATCTTACCTCTGAAAGATATTTGGAAGCTCCCTGAAGTATTCATTGTCCTGCCTGCATCCAGGCAATCAATAACCTGAGCAAGCATTGTGTGCTATTCAAAGCTGCCCTCCTAGTAATGTTATATGGCACCTCCGATAGGTTGGGCTGAAAGAACTTAACCAATACACAAACCTGGGTCTGTCAAACTTAGAAAAAATTGCTCACGTGGAAGTAAAATGATATGAAGTTGGGGACAAACTCTAAATGACTGGGATCATTTTATCCAATGCTCCTATAAGGTCAGCATAATCCACGTAACAGTTTAAAAATGCTCAGCAACAGCTGAGCAATCCATGAAGTGATTCTGTAGATCTCCCTTGTTCATAGTGATGCCAGGTTGATCCTCCCAGGAAGGTTCCTTGCAACAGAAATAAAAAAATAGCTCATTTCTGTACCAGCAGATTTTTGGAACACTTTCTGCTGCTTCTGTTTCACCTATTGGTTTTTTAGGGCTCTCTTAAGTACTTGGGTGGCTTTGCCCATGCATGTGTAAGTGAGACTGGACTCACGGTGCTTAAAAAAATACAGATAGTTGTATAGGTGTGGAAATGCTGCTACTGGCAACTGGCTACAAGGGAACTTTCTGTCCGAGGGTACAAGACGCTAAGGCCTTCCCTGCAGCCATGCAATGATTGCCTTTTTATTGTCACCATCGCTACCAGAATACGTGAGTGTTGTTTCTAACTAACTCCATCACTATCACTATTGGACTTCTTTTGAATGGTTTAGTACCCTTAATATTACTAGACGCTCAATTTCAGAGATCTCAGGCTAAGGCAGATGTTTTTGTCTTCCGCTGAAAATAGTTACTGGATCCCAGCATAACTTTCAGTTGATACAAGCATGCACAGTGATCGCCTTTTGGTTTCCTGTAGTAGCTCTCAGTGTCTACGCTTCCATTACCTTATAGTCACATAGTATTTTATGAACACTTTATGAGAAGACGTTTAAACATTTTGGATCACAGGAAAATCACTGTGCAACATATAGGGCATTTGCAAAATTCACATAATTATTGCAATCTTTTAGTGTCACATGATTAAAATGGAATTTAATAATACTATAAATATAATGATATGCATAGGAAAAATATAAATAACTCAAAACTCAGTTGTTTACTTTATAGAAGTCGGACATACGGAACAGGTATCCCTGCGTTGTCAAGTATACCAAAGTATCAAAAATATTTATACTGAGTTTATTTTAGACGATGTAACTCTAAACTCAGCTGAAGTATGTAAGACTTTATCAAGATCTAACCTAGTGTTCAATACCCAGCAGAACGTGTATAAATTGTTGTTTCTGCCTGACAGATAAGTAGTTTGTTTGGATGTGTTTATTCCATTTTTAACGTATTCAGTAGAAAGCAAGTAAATGCAAGGCCTCAGAGGTGAAAATAAGTGTGGAAGTACTTATCAGTTCATGAATGTGTGGGAAAGATCTCATTTTGTTATTAGTTGTGTACATCTGGCTTTGTTATATTAAAATAGGTGCTTCTGTAGTTAGCCACTTAGACTCTTGTTCAACAAAGTGCTTAAGCATGTGCTGACATTTTAGCACCAAGTAATTCCATTTGTGGTCACCAAAGCATCTAGTCAGGTTTAGTGAAATTTAAAAATGTATTAAAATAGTACGTGTAAATGTGTTGCTCAGAGACTCTTCTTCCAACACTGAATTTTAGCTCACCTGAATAGAAACGGCAGAATTTAAACAGAAAAGTGCCTCTTCTTTCATTCTAAGGATTTTATTGATAGATCATTGTAAATTAATTAAATTCATTTCAAATTAACTTTGCTCATCATACAGAACTTAGAGCTTGATTTTTTTTTTTTTACTGAAATTAATCAGTTTTGCTATCAATAACTCAGGAGGGTTGGATTTAGATTTTAAGTTAAAAACATCATATTTTAATCCACTTCACACTACATTAATGTTACACTAAAAAATTTTGTCTTATCTGATGCTGATTTTTAATTTTTAACAATATAGATGATAATGTTTTAATCCAATTTCCACTGAAACCTAATAAAAGCTAATTTCAAAATCTGAGAAAATCTTGTATTCCCTAAAGGGCAAATTATCGAAGTACTTCATTGCCATAACAATAGCCTTTTGGCTTTAATAGCCTAAAACGCAAATGACATCTGCTGGCTATTTATGTTAATTATGCTTTTAAATTGTTTATGGCTACACAGAGGATATATTCTAGGCTCTCATTTCTATTAATAGATGCCTGCTCTGGAGAACATAAAACACCCTCTGTCCTATCTCGTATCTTTATACCTAAGACAGTGAGTCCCATTCTTACAGATTGCCTAATCTCAATTAAATAGCACAAATTGCTCTTTTCCTTTATTGTATCTGGAATATCAATATGACTGTACAATATATAGCCATCTAAGTTTTGTGAATTTGTGGGTGCTTGAAAAATACGGAAGACTATTTTAGACAGCAGTGGGTATTTTATGTTTTCACAGACCTCAGGTTTCTGTAATCTTTCGGAAACAGGTTAGGTTCTGTTCACAGTGGAAACCAAAGGGATATTTATCTCAGCTATCTAAATGTCTTGAGATTAGATGAGACTGTAAATAACATAAAGTGAGCTTTCTTACTAAGCATCTATTAATTTCTGTTCTGATTAGCTGGAAACAATTCAATTCTAATCACAGTCTGAGCCAAAATCAAGAACTGTGGAGTCATAACATTTATACTATATTTCGATGATAACCAAAAACTTTTGAAGTTCTGACAAAAAAGTTCAGGTCTGCTTTTATTTTACCTCTGGTGATTTAGTCAGTTCAGTAAAATTAAAGAACTGGCACAGATATTTACATTTTCTATAACTCACTCTTCACTCATCCCAGTTATAGGACCACTAAGATTGTAACAGCTTGTCCATATTATAGCAGCTCAAATATTCTGTCCCACCATCACTGTTAAATCTCCATTTCTTTCTACACCTGGGAGGAGGAAGAAAAACAACCAACTGCATATTTCCCCATGGGTGCTTCCAGTAGAAAATGTAGAAAATGCAAGATATATACGGAAAAATATGAAAAAGTAAATGATGGTAAAAATTATTTAATTCTGAAAATGCTATGGAATGATCTTTCCAGGAGATGCATTGCTGTGATAAAACTAGACATTTTAAAAATTACAATACTTATTCATAAGCTGCTATTATTAAATTCATTGCTGTTTTTACTTAGCTAGGAAGTAGCCTCTTGAGAAGTCTTATCCTGTTTTTTCAAAAATGTCCTTGAGAAGTATAGACTCACTGCAGACAAACGTTTACATGTTGCAACTCGTGGTTGAACAGTATAGATAAAACAAATCCATAAAAACATATTACGTACATATTGACAAGTTCGATAAGAATGTAAAGACCAATCCAGGAACATGTAACTGCTACTTTTGGCACTGAATGAGTCCAATATTACACCTGCCCTGGCTAGGTGAAGTATTGTCTAGATATGAAAAGGCAGAACAAACACTAACTCGGAGGCTTTCATGTGAGGAGCTGGAGAATTATGTGGTGTGAGGGTAGGGCAGATGGCAAATGTCTGCTCAAATGAGCTCTCCAAGGGCAGAGCACCAAAGCTGGTTAAACACCAGAAGTGAGAGAGCTGATGGGAAGTCCACTCTTGCCACCTTTATTAACAGGCTAGACAAACATGTTTCATGAATGTCATTGGTATAACTGATTTGCCTTGCTCCCAGGCAATGGTGACGCACCTTCTCAAAATATTTTTTTCCCTTTTTTCCCTCTCCATTAGTATCTCTGACCACTATGCTTTTTCTTGGTCAAATTTGCCTCTGTAGGTCTTCTTCAGCCACTGGAAGTCAGGGCTAGAATAATTTGACTACTTCCTTTCAAGATAGGAAAAGAATTTAGAAGAAATCTGGGCACGCTGAATCCAGGGGCCAAGTTTTTATTCTCTAGTGGTAAATTCCTGTGTAAAACAACCCTCTTTGAACAACTGAGGCCACAGGAAGCCCACCTCTTCCATTCTTGTCTTTTGGTCTCTGAAGTCCAAAGTTGCGATTGAGGTACTATTCCTAGCGTACATCTTTGACTTGTATGAGTGCCACCTTATTTTATGTACTTTACAGATGCCTAAATTAAGAATTTGACTAGCCTAGCCTCCCTCTCTTACCAGCAGGAGATAACACCCTCCAGAACGTGATTCAGGCCTTGGCTCGGTGAACTGCCTTCTGAAAATGCCAAGCCTCTCCACTGGCTACAGGTGGACCCTAGGAAGACAAGGTGCCCTAGCTGAATGAGCTCATCCATTTCATGTTAATTGAGGCTTCTGTTCAGTAAATAAGGGAATTTCCGCAGAGAATGGGACTGCAAAACTAAAGGACTATCTGAGTTAACTTTTCACTCAAATGGTTAATCCAGTGTTTTGCCTATTTTAGGATAGGCAAGTCCCTAGTGTTTCAGTAAGCAGAGTGAGAGAAGGTGCTTTGCAAAGGTAAGTCGTAGGATGTTGGCATTTGGAGGAAGGTCAGATAGGAGTTCTGCAAAAGACTGCTCTGTCACTGTCTTTGGATTATTCCTTCTCAGACTAGGCCTGCAATGTAAGGAGAAATGACTAATAAAACCAGCAGTAAGTTTTTGCACAGCGAATGGCTCTTTGCCTGCTGAAAGTGATGTATATATTGGTGGCTTTGTGAGCGTGGCTGTAGGGAACAAAAGAAAGACAGGGCTTTTATTGCCTGTGAGGAGGGAGAGAGAGGAAGAAAAGGACAAGATGGAACAGACTTATCCCTTACAAGAAAAGAGTGGGAGAGAAGGAATGGGAAATAATTTCTTCTGCATCTTTTCCCAAGTCAAAACACTACTGAGAAAGTGTCTGCTTGTTAGAGTTCTCTGAAGGTCATTTGTACCCTGGAATCTTTGGCAATAATAATTTGAGAATTGAGATAGGTACGTTTTCATTCACTAGAGATGAAATCCCAAGTAGAGCATTTCTTTTGTGAAATTAAGAAGATAACAAATGACTGAGAGCCAATTAGCCACACTGCTTATACCATTTTGGCCAAATACATATATGTCTGTGTGGGGGTATATATATATGTAACTTTCCAATACTGTACTGCCTAAACCACAGTAACTGTCATAATTAAGTCATATTTAACTGAAGAATCCCTGCTTTCCTGAACATAATAAACATATAAGAGGTTTTTCAGTTTCCATTTCCTAGACAGAGTTTTAATGCAGAAGTGTTGATGTTCTCTCTTCCTTGTTTATCAATAGTGCCTACTCATTACCGGTATATGTTTTGGTTAGTGTACTGTAATAAACTGCTACAGCTACTTCTGAAAAATAACTATAATGAAGAAAAATTAGTT